AGGAGACCTTGGAGGCCATTGAATACTATCACTATTGTCTAGCACAGCACAGCACTAGCACAGCTGTCATGGACGATTTCAAAGGAGACTCCTTGAGAGACAGACCACCTGATCTAACAAAATCTAAAATTCAGTGAATGTAATAAATAAATGTTGTCTCGGTGCTGGCTTTTCTTTTTGATGAGATGTATTTCTAGGTTAGGACTAAAAATGACTAAAGGCTGCAAACTTTTTTGGAATCGTCATATTTAATTGTTCACTTATGTTTCAGAAAATAGAGACTCATTAATTTGAAATTTTATGTTTACTTTCAATAAATATCAATTTTGCCTCTTTATTTTGAATACCAAGTAAGTTACAATCTACCATTACTGGCTGGATCTATGCCATGCTGGTAAACAGAACTGCAACTACGACTTTTCAAGGCACTCAAGGTCTCCAGAGGCTGCCCTCAAGGTGTAGTACTATCTCCCCTTCTGTGGTCGCTCCTGATAGATAATCTGCTTGGTTATATACCCCAAAGCACGATGGACGTTGTTCACAGTTGGTGCTTGAGGGAGCAGATTTCTGTCAACCCCAGAAAAACTGTGATGATCCTCTTCACCAGGAGAAGAAAATTGAACGATTCAATGGTGAGGTCATTCCATTTGGAACAGAGGTGAAATATCTTGGCATTGTCCCTGATAAAAAACTCACCTGAAACGCTCACTTGGAAGAAGTTTTACACAAAGCCAGACTGTTCCTATGGATATGTCGAGGATATGTTATTGTGGTGAAACTTGGTGTTTGGGTCCCAAACTAATCCATTGGATTTATATGATGATTGTCAGACCAATGATCACTTATGGTGCAATCGCCTGGTGGTGAAGGCTTTACAGAAAACGGCCCAAACGAAGCTCTCTGGTTTACAGAGACAGGCTTGTCTGGCCATCAGTGGTGCCATCAGTACCACAACGTTAACGGCCATGGATCTACCCCCTCTCCACATTTTTCTGGAGAGAGAGGCTAGATGGACTGCATACAGACTTGTGCACATTGTCAATTGCACAAATCAATTTAATACAGAGTGCAACAAACTGTTGGTTGGCACTGGAAGTCACAGCATTCTGGAAATGACCAACTACGAACTGCCTTACTGCCAGTCCGAGTACAGAGGACTGGATCCTCCGTGAGTAGAAAATATTAAGAGAAGATAGATGGTTGGTTCACATATGGATCAAAAACACCTTTCGGTTCTGGTGCAGGTTTTTTCAGTCGCAGACCCAGAACAGAGATATCAACCTGCCTAGGAACCTATGCGACTGTATTTCAAGCAAAAATTTACGCTATTGTGTGCGGAGAGATCGGAGGAAATCAACCTCATACATAAGTCAATAAAAATATTCTCGGACAGTCAAGCGGCGTTGGAAGCTCTTGGCTCCTACTGAGCAACGTCTAAATTGGTAGCAAATTGCCAAAAACTACTCTCCTCGATAGGCAGATTTGATAGATTGTCTCCGGTCTGGATTACTGGTCACACTGGCCAGCTTTATCGGACCAGCCAAATAAAGATTGAACCCCTGGATGCCAAGAAGGTTTATGGAGTTCTGGCAGAATCTTCCAGGATTGGCTCACTACGAGGCCTTCACCCTTCGAGGTTTGATACCAAACAGTTGTTGGACTACCGTAGGGATGAATTACGATGTCTAACAGGCCTTCTTACAGGTCACTGTCATTTGAATCATCATATGCAGAGACTCGGACTGTCGGAACACAGTGTGTGTCACCTCTGTTTGAAAAATCATGAAACAGCAGAGCACATACTTTGTTCCTACCTTGCTGGGGACCGAATCAGGTTTATAGAATTCGGCAGAGCTTTACTCTCACCATCTGACCTGAAAGACCACTCACCATAAGAACTAATAGGCTTCGTTAAAAAACTGGGTTCATTTGGTCGAGTGTGAATAGGTGTGAGCCACAATAAACCCTTACGGGTTGCGGTGGAGGGTCGAATAGACCTACTCACTTTGTACCTAACCTTACCTAAGTTGGTAAAATCATAAAATAACCTGCTTCATTACCGAATTAAAGCAAGACATTCATGCAGTTTTAAAAAATATTCACAACTTTATACTTTCATGCAGAAAACATGCGGCATCTCAAAACTGGGTTCGCACTTTTGGGGTTACAGCAGGTACCGATTAGCCATTAAAAATTTTTGATTTCACAGAAATACTTATGTAAAAACCTCTCAAATACCTTCATGCATGTACTGTCTCTTCTTAGGTGTATTTCTGAACACAATTTATGACTAGATTGAAAACACTCTTCATTTGAAAAGTGATAGCTGAGACATAAGAGCATCACTAAATCATAAATGAGAAAAAACCTCAAACTACCCTTTACATTCTATCTCTGCATCCTAAATTAGAGTGAAACGCCGTGTTAGACGATGATTCCAAAACATAACAGGCAGAACATTAATATGGAGGTCCAATACACTAGGGTTCCTTCTTGGTCAGGAAAAGTAATTTATCATCTTGTCAAAGTGAGACGTGAGGCGGAGCGTTTCACACACTCATAACCAATAATAGTTCCTTCCTAAAAGTGGCCATCTTGCTATGTTCACTTACAAGAATAATTCATTAGAAAATAACAATTAACTTTAGGCCACATGAAGCAATACGCCAATCAGTTTCAATATTTGATACAAATTTAAGGTATTCAGATTATTATAAAAAAAAGTTCCTTCAGATGCATGATATTCATTTCTTTTTGTTTTTGTACCATTACTATTTACAAGGTTTACAAGTTTTTTTTTGTAGTAGAAAATTTGGTGGATTCTGTCAGACTCTAATATCTGTGAAATCTCGAAAAGTGGATGAAGTCAAAGAAAAAAAATAATTTTTGTGACGTTAGAAAAATGGTTATCAAGATTCTAGTATTATCAAAAGTAAATGTTTTTCTTTGCCCTCATTTTATGAAATTTTCAAGTAGTTAGGGGGGATTTCAATTAAAAACTGTGATAAATTTACAATAGTATTTATTTATACATATATCATTCATATGTACGGTATATATAGGTTGAAATCCACAAGACAGAAATTCAAGTATTAAAGTATTTAGACTCAAAATATAATTTATATATGAAGGTTAAAAATTATAATTTATATTACAATAACTTCATTTACAAAATAATAAAAACCAATTTTTTCGAAATAGAAGATTCCTCTCAACTTAGTACTTCTAAATCTAAAATATTACACCACAGCACAAAGAACTATATCTCTATTTTTTATCCATATAGGTACAAATATACAGCATGCCACTGCAAAATCCCTAAAATTTAGAGTATAAATATTCGTGTATACAAACGGTTAACCATTTCAAATAGGTTTCTTTTCGTTAACAGTTTTTGACTCATTGCGTCAGTTAAGTAGCTTTTTCAAAACCCATTCAAGTGGTAAAACCCTCATTCCATTTTTTATAATAAAATATTTACGTATACTTTTTTGTAGCATCGTTACTTGTTACGTATTTTCGTTACTGTTATCACTAGTACTCTCAATGTCATGATCCGCAAAATTACAATTTAAAATGTACAAAATATTTGCTCTGGAAAAACCAATACTATCAGTGTGAACCCTCACTTATGTACGTATTTCGAGTATTTGAACATTTTTATCCTACATGGATAACTCTTTACTCTAACTTTGGCATAAAAGTGCGTAATTTATATCGTATAATTCATATCCTTTCTTTCCGGATTTATGTACAGCTTTCTCATAAATCAACTTCTTTTAACCGAATATACAGGATGACTTTCCAGAAACTGGGTAGCTAGAATTTGAAAAAGTAATCAGGGAGTTTATGAAAGTTTGCTAGTATAAGAATAACGTTTGTGGCAAGTCCTGAACAATTCTGGTTAGAACAAAAATGGGTTCAAACTCCATTTTTTCAAATATTATTACTGGGAATATATATTCTATATCGAATTTTTCATATAACTCAACTTACATAGTTTTTAAAAATTTGAGATTTAACATAAAAATACTTTTTGAATATAAATGTAGTGTACTGTTTGAGCTGAAAAAGTTACAACTCCAATTCGTCAACTTTTCATACAGGTGATTTACAAAAATTATTGAAAACAGTGGCAAAAGTCAACAACATTGAAAATAAAGATGTTTTTTCATTTATTCTGATTTTTTCAGAATTGAATTTATAAATTTGAGTTTTTCACTAGATGAAAGTTGACTGAGCTAGTTTTCAAGTGTATAAATTTTTGTGGACATTCTGTATAAAAAATTATTATTCTTGGGTTGTTACCTGTCCAACTTGCATATGTTCCTAAATTCATATTGGCATAATCCTACAAATGACATTTTATATTGAAAATAAATATTTTTGAAACTATGTAAGATGAGTAGTGATATAATATGAAATCATAGAGTATTTCTTTTCTGGTGTAACCAAAACAGCTCTGAACTGAAACAATCTGAACTGAATTTTCACATCATTAGTCTCATATTGCCACATATTCATGATTTTCTTATTTGTACTTCACGCATTATCTATTGACGCAGTTTCCGGGGAATCACCCTGTACAGACAATAGAAATATCTACAGCTCAAGTAAATCAATCTACATTAAATTCAAACACTTCAACACAGTTTATTGTTTTACAAAAATGTGTGAAATCTCAATGTGACATTCAATGTGATAAAATGAACTTTAGTAGTACCTCATTTCAACTCTGGATTTGAATTGATAAAAATATGAACTGAACAATTGCCCATAGCTTAACAAACTTTCAGACGGTTTTCTTTTTGAATTAATATCAGCATAAACCAAGAGAAGATCTGAGAGCCAATGTAGAACACAAATATTTGGATGATTTTTTGGGAAAGAAAGTGTTTGGCTTTCTACTACTCCATCTGATACAAAAAAAGGGGATGAGAGAATCTTCCAAAGAAAGGAAGGAAGATTCTCTTATCCCTTTTTTTTGTATCTGATGGAGTAGTAGAAAGCCAAAAACTTTCTTTCCCAAAAAATTAATCACTCTTAAAAATATAACCCCTTCAATTCATTTGGATGATATTTCACTACTTTCTTTTTTACATTTTTCGCTGTTTCTAAACATTTTCTAATACTATCTACATGTTGAATATAGACATGGACATTTTCAACGTTAAAATTTCATGCCAATACAATAAATCACACTGTTGGTACTCATATAAATTATTTTTTTTCTGAATATAATATAGTTTTTATTTCAGTTTTCTCATTAATTCATTTGATTTTTGCTGTTTGATTCCTGTTTTAAAGTCTGTACGGGGTTCCTAGTAATGGTTAAATTCAACGAAATTGTAAAAACATTGCTAGATGCCAAATTTTCCTAATTACCTATTAAATTGTAGGTTATATTATGTTTCTTTTTTTATGATACTACTAAAGATATTCCGGATCTTCTTCAATAAAGTAATAATAACCCAGAAAAAGTTATATTCGACACATTTTTCATTTGACAACAAAAGATGTGATACTAATATTGGTACCCAATATGAAGATTTATGCTTGTTTTGGTTTTTTGAAAATTAAAAATAAAAGAAATTATTTTGGGGAATACACTAAATCTTCTGAAATTTTCAAATAAATCAATCTCATCAACTACCGTTGAATTTTACAATGTTTGCATGTATGCGAGGTTAGTTTTTAGTTGTAGTAGTTCTAGAATTTTCTAATAGTCAAATAGTTGTTCTAATAAAAGTTCAGTTCTCATTAGATTAGTTGTTTTTTTTTCGGCTAACTTCTTTCTCTACTTATTGAGAAGCATGAACATTGAAACTATCAATCTTGAATGGGTTATGTTTTTATCTAAATATCGTATGTCCAAAATATCATTATTCAGTTTTTTATACAGCGTGCCAATTTGAAAATGTTTTTCTTTTGAATTTTTTTCCACAAAATAATATCCCAAATCAGTAGATTACGTTTTGAAGGGGGGCGGTTTCGTTATTAAACCCCCTACAACGAGTATAGATCTTAAAAAGGAGGGAAATGGAAAGAGGTATATCGTTGCAAAGGGCTTTAAATTGAACTTTGTCCAATAGTATCTTGTTCTTTCACCAGCAATTTCCAAAAACTCGGAAACTACACTGAATGAAAATAATTTTATCACGAGTTAATTGTTGGCAGAAATAGCCTGACCAGCAGAATTACCCTCAAAAAATTCATGTGAATACAAAGTAATGTAATATTAAAATTTTGCTATGGTGCTTCATTTGCGTTCAGAAGGTTTTCAATTTTTTGAGCTAAAATTACATAAACTGATTCAGACTATTACGTCTGTAATTAAGTTTCACTCATGCTATTTAGTGAAAGGAAAAAAACTACTAAAAAGAGACACTCATTTTCATTCAAATGATAATCTAAAAACCACAACTGTCAATGCAGGCAAGTTCTAATTGCTTCTGTAATTTTTAAGAAAATACTGGAATGAGAATTGAGAGGAGGTCACATCGAAATGATGTGACTTTTGAGCCAGATTAGAATATCTAGGGGTGACATCTAGCTTATGCATGGTTCAAACCAAACGGGCTGAAAATATTCCCCATATCACTCAGAGGAAAGATTTTGAAAATGGGAACTTTTCAAGTTGTTCAAGTTATCTTTATAACAAAGTGCATCAAACAACAGAATAGGTATATTTTAAAAATTGATCCCAATAAAGCAACATTTTTTTCCGATTCTACAAAAGGTCTCTTTGAGTTTGGCCCTGAATGAATACACAACAATCCAGAGTTGAAATAAAATAAAAAAATATATTCCATAAATTTATTGTTGCAAATTAACACACCTACAAAATGTCACACTTTTCTTGATTCAAAATCACTGGAACTATCGGAAGGAAACCCAACGCAAAGGCATGGAAAAATAGTACGGAGAAATTCAATTCAGTCTAAAATTAACATAACCAAAACAAAATCGCCACATTTTTGCAAAACAAACAACAATCACTACGGTCTAAAATGTGAAACAAGCTAACTAGAACGACATGAGTGGATCAATTTGGGAGAATATTTTCAGGTTAGCTTGCGTGAGTCACAAACATTTCAAAAGAAAATGCCGTCACTGACCTTATCATCGTGGATCTTGTAGAGATTCTAAACCACATATGTTTTATCATTGATTTATAAAATATTTATACAAAAAATTCGAACCCGGGGATGTATCTTCACTGTTAGGCAGTTCGTCTGCTTCACTGAATTGCACGTTGCACTGGCCTCCTAATTAAATTTTCGACGACAGTCCAATTCGAAATCGCGCAAAAATAATAAAAACACTATTTTATCTACAATATATAAATAAATTAACTATTAAATCGATCTACAATCGCGTATCGAATTTATACACAAAAAGGATTTTCTTAAGAGGTCAATATGGTTGTATGGGGAATTTTGAAGTGTTCTGCCAAAACGGCCTTCGCTGGTAGCGAAAGGCAAATGCATGACTAAAATGTGTATTTAGGTACATGGTTTAATACGGTTTGGTTCACTGAGGTGATCCCTGAGGACTGATGTCGTCTCCACCTCCTTCCGAACCTCCCTCTCCTTTGGTCTTGTTCTCCTTTTTCCATTTCATGCGCCTGTTTTGGAACCATATTTTGATTTGCCGTTCAGTCAAGCAGAGAGCGTGCGCTATCTCTATTCTTCTTCGCCTCGTCAAGTACCTGTTGAAGTGGAACTCTTTCTCCAGCTCCAGGGTTTGGTACCGAGTGTACGTCTGTCGACCTCGTTTCCTTTCTGGAAAAAATATATCTATCATTAGTATTCCAGCTAAAAAACCTTATTCAAAGTGAGACAAGAATATTTTCACTATTTTTATAGAGGCCATAGTGGCCAACAGAATATCACCATCAGAAGTAGTTTTCATCATCATCAGGTGGTCCCAGAAGTACCCAGCCTGACCTAGAGATGGCGGTAGTTGTTTGAAAAATATTTCTGTATCAGAAAGTACACAATCTATAAAGCATATGTTTCAAGTTTGAAGAACCTGCGTTGTTTAGTATTTGTTTGGCAGTCATCAATAGTTTTCGGTAAATTTGTGAAAATGGAGCCCCTTCGATTATTTTTTGTTTCAAAACTTGCAGAAATGACTCAGTGGTCAAAGATTTTCCAACGATGAAGAAGTAATGTCGGCAGGTAATGACCAATTCTGAGGAGCAAGACAGTTTATATTACAAAACCGGTATGGAACTTATTGAACTTCGCTGAAGGTTAGGTTGAAAAATAAATGAATTTTTTTCAAAAAATGTTGTGTTGTCTTTGTTGGGCCATGTACTTATGGACCACTCTCGTACAAAAGTCATACATATCCCCTAAAATGTGTATTCAGAGCCCTTTTTGATAACATGCTGATGTATGTAAGGAGTGATTTTTAGGTCCATTTCAAGATAAAAAACTTTATATGGGCATGCCCAAAATTCACAACTGCTACAAGATGAAAGTAGGTGAGAAACAGTGTTGTCAATTGAAGTTCGAAACTTCCCTCAATATCCCTACTCAGAAGGATCAACAATTGCTCCAGGAAAACAAATATTTTTCTGGTTTCTTCCTCGCTTGGAGATTTTTTTCATGGGATAGAATTGTTTCTATTTCACTGAAGTCAAAACAGATCCTTTATCAGACCAAGATTTCATATATACGACGAACTCTGTGGAATCCTAGACGCATGGATCTGTCCAGCACTGACTAGGTTGTGATACTCTGAAACCGATCTGTAGGTGATCAGCCGATTAATATCAGAGACGTAGTTATTTTACGTCAGGAATTTGTCGGATGTCGGAAGAGGTGAGTTTATTATTATGTATGTATCTGATTTCTGTTGCGGCAATTGTCTACCTAGTCTGGTGGTCATGTACTCAAGTCATTGAAATTGACAATGCTTTTGAAAGAAACATGGTTCTATAGACGAATTCAGAATTTGTAGATCAGTATTATAGCCTAAACAAATACCTACAAAGCAACATACTGTAAGAACACCAGACATTGATGAAGCGCTTTTGAATTCAGTTGCTGAAGATTCCAGATTGAAAATCTAGAAAACTGAAAACAATCCTCATGGTTTTTTATATCTCTACCACATCTAACTGTTTCAGGCTCTATTACGGATGTATGTATCTTTACAATGGTGTTTTCAAGAACGAATGAATATCCATTATTTGATACTGGAATTTCATTCGTTAGGCTCAGTGTTTTGAACAAAAATCATAATAATTGCTTTGTATGTCCAGCAGAACCACTGTCAAAACCACAAATGATTAGGTTAGATTATTTCTTGTGGGATATCCTTGAAAATTGGATTGCAGAACACCAGTTCTTACTCTTGTTCTTATGGTGAAAGTTTTATTAGTGAACATCAATACCAGTAAAAACGCGATTACTTGAGAAATAAATATTGAAGGGAATCAAACTTGTGAAAACAGATTTTGAAATTTTATGGTGACTAACAAATATAATGGATTAAGACGAGACTGATTGCCAATGACCTACCAGAAGCCTAAATCTGATATTTCAAATACTGAGTGTTTTATGATTGCAGGTAACGATTGTATTTAGTTTCGAAACTTTGCTCCCATATCGGTGTAATTCTCCCATATATGTGGTAATTCTATATGATTACCACAAATATCTTGCCCTATACGATCAAGTCTAAAAGTACCTCGGTTAAAATTAATATTTATTCACAAAAATTCCACCGACATTTCACCTTGCTTTCCGAGTTAAATAACAAATATTATCTAGAACAAAAAAATTCTTTGTCAAATTTTCATATCCCGTGTTTTATTTTTTTGAAGGCTTTCATTATAAAAATTATTACCTGGAGCTGACCTGCCGACGACTGGTCCGGAGAAAGCAACAAAAATTACCAGGAATATAATTATATACATCAGTTTGAAGGGAGGCAAAATCGGCCTTGTGACGCCAATCAAACCGGGCTTTAGGCGGTCTCAGACTGTATCTCAGATAATGAGTTTATAAATGATGCATAAATCATTTTCTTCTTTTCGATCTTGACGCTCTTGCGAAATTTCGAAATAGGTATACTCCACATAATAATTACGATTAGTTCTGGTATAATAAGATTCTTGTCAAAAGCCGCGATGAATTATTAGGTTTCTAATTTGAGATTATTCATGGTTTACTTTGTAGCTATTTTCGTCATCATTTTCAGATGGACTGATCACTCTTTATTATGCATAAGTCACATTCATCGTTTCTCTACACTCTCATATTCAAACATCAAAATTAATTGATTTATTTTCGGTCATTTGGGAATATAATGATACCATAATGATATTTCTTTCCGTCTCGAAATTATAACTTATTCAGTACAATATTCACATGAATATCTAGTAATGGAAACACTTTTTTCTAATGCCATTTAGAAGAGTCTATGAAATGCTGGTTACTGAAACGTGCGTCAAAAAGAGTATTGCATTTCTGGTGATTTGAAATAGTGCTTGTTTTCGATATGAAATGCTGAATAAACAATTTTTCATTCGTTCAATGGAAAAGACCAGAAGATAAAATTTTCTAAAAAGTATAAAAGAAAACAACTAACTTCCATTTTTTGATGTACTTATAACAAAGAGTAGAAATTTTCAAAGACTCAACAAAAAATTGATAAAGAGTAAAAAAGTATCAACTTGCTGTGAAAAGAAAAAAAAAGTTTCAAACTATTTGGCGACATTTACCTATTTTATGAAAAAATTCATGATTTATTATCAAAAATCACTTATGCCGAAATCAAGTAACGTATTGTATATTCATATTATTCATCTGTGCAGATGAATCTCGCAACAAAAGCTTTCATAGCATTCAAATTCATTTAATTTATATTTCAGTTATCATTGATCATATTCCCAAGTGTATTTTTCATCTAATGCGTCATTGTTACATTATCGGTTCCTTCATGTGACAGCTATCTTATTTTCCGAAAATATTAGTTCTTTTCCGCTTGAACTCTTTCATTTGATATCCTTATCATGGAGGTGCCTAAAAGAACGTAGTCCATTATCTTTGGCAATTATTCCTAAATTGAATTTAGAATGACGTCACTTCATTTTTCGCATGCTTTTCAGCAAACCCTTCCATTCGAAACCTTTATAATGAACCAGTTCGCCATCTTGAGCGGTTCGCCATATTGGATTTGGAGTGACGTTAAGTTATTTTTCGAAATCTCTTCAGCAAATCCTTTCATTTGATACCAATATCATGGAGGTGCATAAAATACTAGTCCGACATATTGGATCACCCGCCATATTGGATTTATTTTACGTGGCCGAGTTCAGCAGAACGGTATTCTTCCGCTCATCTACGATTAAATAAAAACACTACAGAAAATGTCATTACAATCAGTTATTTTAAGTACCTACTATTATAAAATAAGTATTAGAGTTTCTGTTTAGATCATTTTTAGCAGATCAATTGGTTCATTTTTGAATAACACATTTTTCAAGATTTGACTGAATGATTGATACATTGTTACAGCATGATACGTGATGGATCATTCGTAGAAATTACTGTCAAGACTAGGAATGTCAAAATCATCAACATTTTTTGGATTCATCTGATATCTTGGAAAAAGTTGTTTATCAAATAAACAGGTGTTGTATTTGCAATAATTTGTAAATGAAACAAGTGAAATGAAGTCCTCGTCTGATTTCCATTTTCAAGCAATTTAATTGATTGATTGAATGGCTCACACAATCTTTGTAATTTACACTGAATATTCGAGGCATTTTAGACTTTCTGAATTATTGCAGAAGTTGTGGAATCGAAACAAGGACTATAGACGTTATCGATAGAAACATTATCTAAAAGGTAGTGTCTGTTTGAATACAACAAACCATTTCATTTGATATCTATATCATAGAGGTGCCCGAGTCAGCCATCTTGGATTCTCCGCCATATTGTATTTACAAGGACGTCTTGTTATTTTTCATATTCTTATCGGCAAAACTTTTCATTTGATACATATATGATGGGTATAGGGTGCATATAATAATCTAGTCCTTCATTTTGGATGTAAAATGGCGTCACATAAATAATCATAGATTGTCAACTGAAGTAGAAGAGTATATAAAATTTCAGCTGAATCTGTTTTGAATAAGTACCTAAAACTTTTGTTGCAAGATTGGACTCGAACTGACGAACCCACCTCAGGATAATGTCATTAACTACCGAGGCTTTGGCTAAATCTTGCTGGCACTCTAGTACTAGCCTTGAGGTAACACGTTGTCTGTTCGAAGCTGATAGGACTTGTCTACTATCAGTGCAGATTTTTTGAAATAGATATCACGCACAAAATGATGAACATATAATTAATTGGGACAATGAAAAGAAAATGGTTTATGTCCATGATATTAAGTAGAACGTATAGAACAAAAGGCTAGTTGAAAACTGACACACATGCAAACAGCTTTCAGAATCTCGGAATGTTATATCGATATCAACATTTTCTGTTTAATTTAAGAAAAAGTAACTTTGGATTCTGGTGTGATTGCATTTTCATTTTTTATTTTCTCTGACTATATGGCATGACTGATTTGAACTTCGAAAGAGACTGTCTGTCATCAGAAAAAAATTCTAAAATGTTTTCATTTCATAGTAATAAACCTCTTCTGACAGTGCACTGTCAAATGTATTATGTTGACAAGATGTATGTTGACAAGAACAACTCGGTAGCACTTGTGCTGAGTTGAACTTCGCCTTTTGTTATGTCAGCAACTAGCTCTCTA